GTGAAGGACCACATGAATCCTGATCCTTTCTACAGGCATCAGAGTAAAAGCATAAGCTATCCTCTCCTGGAGGAGAACCTCAGAATCTACACAAAATAGATTTTATTATGTGTGAGATGATGTATCTTTATTTAATATCAAATAAATATTATGGGATTAATTTTTTTCTTATTTCAACATTGAGTTGTTTTATTAAGTAGGTTATTTCCCTTGGAATTTCTTTTTTCTTTGTCATTTTGAAACAGAGTTTCACTGAGCAGTTCAGGCTGGCCTTGAGTTCACTTTGTAGTCCACATGCTGGTCCTGAACTTGCACCAATCCTCCTGCCTCAGCCTCCCAAGTGCTGAGATTATAGGCATGTACTACTACGCCTGGCCTCCCTTAAAATTTCTTTTGCAGTTTCTGTACTTCAAAATATGTGTATTTCTCATTGATAGCAATATTAATTACCATTTACTCATTGCTTATATTAATCTTATCATACTAAACACTTGACCTTCATTAACTGAACAATCCCTCTCCATGTCCTATGATATAGGTATTCTCTATTTACAAATGAGTGAGCAGAGATTTAGATAACTGATATCTTAACCTATCAAGTCTCTGTCCCCTAGTAAGTGGCCTATTTCAAACAAACTACACTGAAAATGGCCTTTAAAAAGTTCCAGCCAAAGTAGCTTTCAGACGTATGGTCAACTCTACCTGAGTCCTGTCCCTCTTGATTCTGTTTTAATTATGGTATACTCTCTTAGATTTGGCCCATGCTCTTGAATTTTCTCATTGTCCACCATGTTATCCTATGACACTGTTTTATTCATTTCCCTAAGTGACTGTTTTTTAAAATGTTTATTTATTTATTTATTGTGTGTGTGTGTGTGTGGCCAGCTCAGCCCACCAGGGGGCGGGGCTGGCTGGCATGTGGTGCTGGGGGATTGAACCGTGGTCCCTGTGTTTTGCTTAGCTTAGCTTGTTCTAAGTAGGTGCTTTAGACCACTGAGCCATCTCACCAGCCCTCATTTCCCTAAGTGACTTTTAACGCTTTCAAGTATTCAGACAAATCTTCTGCATCTTTGTGCTGGAGAGTTGTACACCCTCCTTTGAAGAGTGACTGTTCTGATCTTCTACAGGTGAAAAAGTTTAAAGTCTAACAATAGTTGCTATATAGACCAGAATATTTGCCCAGAATTAAAATTCAGCTTTATAAAATCTGGACAAATGAAATTCTTTGTACTTCAAGCTATTTTTGTATTGGCTTCAAAACTCCCCAACGTAGGGGCTGGGGATTTAGCTCAGAGACAGAACATTTGCCTATCAAGCTGGAAGTCCTGGGTTCAGTCCTCGGCACCAAAAGCGAAAATTAAACCTCACCAAAACATAGCACAGCTTATGAACTCTGGGTCAAAGGAACCCAACTATCTCTTTAAAGACAATAATGAAAAAGTCTTTGACATGGTCTCTCTTGCTTTTCCGAAAGTGGGAAGAATGAGATAAGGGAAGAAACGAAGAGTGGAAACGTGAAGCTGACACTGGTGAGTCTTGATCACCATAGGATCTGGGAGCAACAGGAGGACTGTGTCACTGCTCCACAGAGAGTCTGGCCCAAAGTCCCTGCAACCCAGAAGCAGCAGCTTCCAGGGACACTTTTCAGATCACTGATAGAGAACTGCATCAGAAGGGAGAGTTGCTGGGGCCTGTCTTCCTGGCAACTTGGGCACAGCATGGGCTCTGCTTAGACTTAGGATAAAGCACACAGCCAGGGAGGGAGCCACTGGGCTCCACGGCCTGCCAGATGGCATGCTTTACATACTTTTGTCTTATTTTAGCTTTCACAACTGTTGAGGTAGATGTTATTAATAGCTCCAGGTTACAAATAAAGAAACAGAGATATGGAGAGATTAAGGAACTCCAAGAGAGCTTTTTCAACCACAGTCTAGGGCTGCTGAATGCTGCTTTATCTTGTGGATTTTTATTTTCCACTATGCCATAAAGCTTAAATGAGGAAAAAGAAACAAATCAAGGACACCCACCATGCCAACCCTCTGCTCTGCACAGCTCCTTAGCTCTCCATTAGCCATACTCTGTCTTATTTTCATAACAGTATTTTTAGTTCCTTGAAATGAGAAGTTTTATCCTGTACAAAGCTGTTCCCTCAGGGTGGCAAGATAGATTAGTGGATTAAGCGCCTGCTTTGGCAAGCTCAGGGACCAGGGTTCAATTCCTGGTCCTGCATGCTGCACCAGTCCCACCCTCGTGACTGTGTCTGAGTGTGGTGGCACATGCCTGTAATCCCAGTGCTGGAGAGGCTGAAAGCAGGAGGAGCACTAGGAGTCTGACCTGCGTAGTGAGATCCTGTACCAAATATATAAAAAAAAAAAAAAAAAAAAAAAAAAGCTGTTCCCTCAACATTAGAAAGAACTCAGTAAGTGTTTATTGAATAGAAGAACAGATGAATGAATACATTTTGCTTTGCTCAGATATGGGAGTGTTTTACTTTCTATTAGATCAAATTCTAAATTCCTCGGATTTAATCTTCAGTAGTCATAAAAATACTGATCAACAATAAATGGTTTAAAATAATCTAGGTACTCTATCCTTTACGAGCACCAATGAACTTAATACCCAGAATGACAACTGATAACTGATAAAGAGCAGAATCAGAATTTATATCCTAGTGATCTCATCCCTAAATCTGTATATATACTCGCTCTTAAGTTCTCTTCCAGTAATTGCCCGAACTCAGACTTCCTTCTGCCAGTCAGACAGGTTCCTATTACTGGGCTCGCAGATTCCGAAAGCATTCCTCATTGTGCTACACCCATCTTCAGGCTCTGATCTTTCCCTCTTTGTTAATTCTTAAAGGTGCATCCACTGATTGATTAATCTAGCAGTTAACACCATTTTGAAAAACCGGGGGGGGGGGTTTCCCTAAATTATCAGCATAGTTTGCTATGCTTTTCATATCATTTTACAATAACTAATTCAGCATTCAGAAACTTTTTTTTTTTTTTTTTTTTGGTATCGAGATTCAAAGTCAAGACATGCTTGCCAGGCAGGCATTGTGCCACTGAGCTACATGCCCAGCCCTAGGAAATACATTTTTTATACTTATTTCAAAAGAGGAAATTGACTTTACTGTACAGAAATCTGACAGACACCACCCTAACTAAATGTGGCTCAAATTAACCATTCCAAGAACTTAGGTGGGCTGGCCAGATAGCTCAGCAGACTAAAGTGCCTGCTTAGGCAGAGCACAGTGGCCAGGGTTTGATCCCTGTTGTGCCATGCTGGCCCTGCCCCTGGGGCACACTGAGTCAGAGATTCAGACAGCATGGCTGTAATCCCAGCACTTGGGAGGCTGAAAACAGAGCATCACTACAAGTCCGACCTACGTATTGAGATTTGTAGACCCTTCCTAAATACATTTTTTTAAAAAATGAAGTTAGGTAGCTAATGAGGCAAAATGCCAACAACTGAAAAAGAGTGAAAGATAAACTGGAGTTAATCTATGCTACATCTGAAACTTTTCTCTCTATTGGGTTGTGTCTAAGTTAAAACGTATAGTTTGATGAACTATTGATAATCTGAGTCTAAAGCATTCAAGTGAACATTTAAGTTTGACAAAAGCATCTTTAAAATGAAGGTGCAGAATAACAAGGTTACATGTAAAAGGAGCACTTGCAAAGTTTTCAACTCGAAACTGTCTCATTGCTATTTGTTTCTCAATAAAATTATGGGAAAAAAAGTTTTCAACTCAGAAAGGTTTGGCAACTATCCCAACCAAAAAGTGTTTTCACAGTGGATAAGGTTTTAGTAAGAACGATGTATAAAAGTAACAAGTCATGAGCTACATGTTTTATATGCTTTTATATAGTGCATATGTAATGAAATCTCTACAAAAATCATTACTTTCTCTAAAATTATAAGACTTGGAATTTCTTACATTGCCCTATTTCCTGAGGCCACTGTAGTTCCTACAGTCTTCAGAGAAATCCTGCCTCTGTCACCTACATAGGCACCCCTGGCCCACCCTATTCAGTCTAGAAACACAGCAAGTTACTAGGTCAGTAAGTGGTCACCCTGAGAGACCAAGACTGTGCCTATGAAGCTGGTAAATAGCCTGGCAAGACCATAGGGTGGAGGTAATGATGCCAGGCCCCAAACGTAGAATTCTAGTAAGAGCCATGGAGTTCTGTGCCCTGAGTCAACTAATCCTATTCACATCCTTTTGGAACGAAAACCTTCTTTTAAAAACTTACATCCTACATTGAACTATTTCTAACACAAATATCTTTCTTATTCACCTCTTCAGGTGCATGGCAATTGTCCTTGACTAGCACAAGGGCTTTGAGGTCCTACTTTACTCAGAAATCAACTCTGCACATTTTTTTGAGTTCAGAAAACTTCTGGTATTTTCCCCCGGGGTAGGGGGACTCTCACAAACACCACTAACTCAGGCTTCATTTAAATGCATATCTTTAAACACTACTGATGACTTGTGTAGAGAGGAATGGCAAGATAGGAATTCAAGTTCAGGGCCACCGAACAACCGAGCTCTAGATGGGGTTTTCTAGCAAACACGTTTAGATTTTTCTTTACAGTAAGTCATCACCAACTTTCGCAGGAACATATAACAGCACCATTCTTCCAAAAGAGCGTCTGTGTCGCTGTCTACGCGAACGCAGTCAACTCCAGCTGGTACAAAAGCCACATCCGGCAGACGCCGCGGTCGGGCGGGTGCGGGTCGCCCCCAGAACCTCCAAAGGTCAAGGGCAGCAGCCACGCGGCGGCCCCGCCCGGCGGCGACGGAGGCCCGGAGGGGGCGCTGTGCGGCGGGCGCTCGCCCCG